TTTTTGGCTGATATCGGACCGATATCCGATATTGATATCGGATCGGGACACCCCTAGCAATTACATTATGATCACAAACTGAAACACAATTTAATGTTTTTGTTGTCTTCACTGATGAAACCTTTGTCCCATTTCAGACTAGCATGCAAATAAGTTCTTTTCATGTAAAAATGTTTGGGCGTTTTTTTGCAAAGGTCACATCAGGCTTGTTGGTACTCTTCTTCACATTTGCGTTACAGGAAAAAAAATCACTTACTACCATTTTTACAGTATACAAGAACACAAATCCTATAACATTCAGAACATTTCACTTGACATTTGTAATGTTTTTGGGCTGTGTTTGCAAGCCTCTTCAGTAAGATGGTAAGATATGCAGTCCTCAGAGTTGTGGTGTTACATGTAGGGGGATGCCCAATATGGGAGTTGGGGATACTACGCTGTCTAGTGTACAAGAGAAGAGTTTTTTAGTATATGACTGATAGATGCTGACAAACTATATGATGATACCACTTCTAAATGATCTAAGTGACTTGTTCTGCAATGTAAAGCATTTTCAGAATTTGTGATGCAGATTCAATAGAAAAGCCAGCTGCTTATTTTATTTGGTCCACCAACATATTGTTTAGGCTCTGAATACGGTTGTCAAGTTAAAGTAGTAGTTTGATGTGCATTTTATTTGTTCAATAGTCTGGTTTTGATTTGCCATATGAAATATTACCCTTTACATATTGGTTTAAACGATACCCTATCAAGGCTGTGTGTTCTTGCAAGTTTCATACTTCTTGGAATAGTGGTTCACTTGAATTTTCTGTTTGAATTTTTCCTGGCAAGAATAATTTTTGGGAAGATTCTCACCAGCTGGGTCCATAGTTCTGATTTTTGAAGGTTATGAACAAAATTCTTTTCAGAGCTGATGTTTAGGATTTATAACTCCTAAAAAAAGAAGTGGCATTTTTATCTTTATTTTTTTTCTTTTCAAAACAAAGCTAGGATATAGGGAAGGTTTTAACGAGACACTTATTGTCTTTGGCAATTTATTAAAAAATAAATAAAAAGAGGTGATCTTGGAAAAACAGCAGCACAAACTAAAATATTTGGTATCTTCGATGTTATTTAGCTCAAGTATATTTTTTTAAGGAAGTGTTTTCTGATTTATCCCACGGGTTATAGCTGTCACCGACAGGAAGGTGGATGGATAGGAAAAGGGCAGCATAAAGAGCTTTGTCATGTTTCAAGGATTATTTCTTCAAAATCCTTGTGACTGGGGTCAAGATTATAAAACGATTAACAAGATCTGTTACCTTATGCTTGCTTAGATTATTATTTTTCTTACTGTGATATGGAAATACCTGGAAAATGAAACGAGAATGAGGGGAACTGAAGTAGTGAAAACTTTCTGCTTTTGGTGTTTTGGACTCCGAAGCACCCTCAGTAATGGGCAGGACTGCGGTCCAGGGAGAAGTTGGCTCAAGCAGCAGACTCAGTACGGATTAAAAACATTCCACTGTAGGTCTCTGTTGAAATAACAAGGGCTGCAAAATAATCAGTTTTCGCAGCGCCCGCTTCTCTCTGTTCTCATGGGTAATGAACAAGATGGGTAGTATCCCACTTGGCCTCAAACTTCACGCCTCCCATTGACTAGAATGGTTAACTTGCATTCCTGCATAAATATTTAGCCCTGTGACAGGCTTACTCATTAACTCGTCTCAAAAAAAAAAAAAACTCCAATTCATAGAATGGACATTGTTTCATGTATTGCTTTCAGGAATCAAATTGAGCACTAATGAGTCTGTTGTCCCAGTTTACAGCAGAGCTTTATGGATAAATGATGGGCACTGTTTTAGCCCACAAGTGTCAGACATAACAAGGTGATGCATCTCTTTCTTTTGTAATTTTTTTTCCAAAGGAGACTACAGATATAAATCCATCTTTTGATCAAGACTGAAGTATGTGGACACTAATTTGAAAAATTGCTATGAAATTTTGTACAGGCATTTGTTGTCTCCAGAGATTCTTACTCTAAAACTAAAAGTGGGTCAGCTGTTTGGTGAAATATAACAGCAGCTGTCTGCACATACTTTGGTTCAGATATTTAGGGCTACTGAATTACACATCACAATGACTTAGGTGGTCCTTGAATGTGCAACAGGATGGTTATTAGTTTCAGAAAACATAAGTACAGCTCGCATTTTCAGGACGATGGAATTTCAGATGCTGGTCATCAAGCTGCCATGTATAAAGGATGTTCCAGTGCTCACACTGTTTGTTTTGTAATTTTAATCATTAATATTTATTCAAGGTAAATTACAAAGTTAGTAAACAGGAAAAGGGGGAACAATGAGTCAAGCACACAGGTGCGTTGCTGTTTGTAAAACGTTATTATATTGTGAAATGCTTTAAAAAGTAGATCATGGCATTTTTTTTCCTGTTTGTCTTACATTCATGTTTGAAGAAGGGTGTTTGGTTTAGAAGTTTACTTTAGTCTTCCTTTACTTGTGTAAAAGTTGTGATCTTTTGCAGTTCTCTGGATTTCTGTGGGAATTATTTTCTACATTTTTATGCCAAGAACATTTTTTTGTGCTGTCCTTTTTGGATCATTTGGATTGCTTGCCTTTTAATATTTGCATAATTAAATTGTAGCTTAAGCAGATGTGCAAACATTTCATAAAGTAATTTATTCCACCTACAACCAATTTGTAATTTTACATTTTATTTTAACAAAAAAATTGCAGTGAATGCTTGTGGAATTATGAATTGAAATTGAGATTATTTATTTATTTATTTATTTATTTATTTATTTATTTATTTATTTATTTATTTATTTATTTGTTGCATGGCTCACATGTTAAGTAGTATTTTTAGCGTTTGGAGGTGCGAATTTTCCCTCAGTGCAACTAGTTTCTGTTTGGCCTGTTAGTGTCTGTAAAACTGGAGCTTCCTGTTTGGCTTACATTGGTAGCATACCGTCACTGAACTGGGAAGATTAGAAACCATTGTCACCTTTGCACAGTGCTGGGAACTGTAACAGGTCACACATGCTTCTTGTCACATGGCATTGTGTCACTAACTTGGCTGGTTGATATTATAAAGCATAATTGCCTAGATTTAATTATTAGATTTGTTTATAAAGACAGAGAAATATGATTCAAAGATTTCCTCATAAGCAGTAGGATTTGATGTTAAAGTTGTGTATAGAGCTGGGTGATGGGTTGCATCCACATGATGGGAATTTTAATATTTTTCACCTCCACAGTAAAAGAAATGTTTATTACAGTTTGTAGAGCAATAAAGCAGAGAAAAATCAGAAAGAGTATACATTCCCCTCCAAAAGCATTGGAACAGCAAGTCAAATTCTGTTCTTTTTGTTGTACACTGAATACATTTGAACATAAAGACCAGGGAACTGTCTATGGGAGAAAAGCAAGCCATCTTGAAGCTGAAAAAAGATAAATCAATCAAAGCCATTGAAAAACACTGGGCATAGAGAGCACAACAGTTTGAAATGTCCTGAATAAGAAAGAAACTACTGATGTCCTGAGCAAGAGACATCCAACAGGTCAGCCAAGGAAAACAACAGTAGTTTCTGACAGAAATATTGAGAGTTGTGAAGAAAAACCCCAAAACATCAGTAAGTGACATCACCAACAACCTCCACAGTGCATGGGTGAAGGTTTCACAATCAACTGTTTGAAGAAGACGCAGAGAGCAGAAATATAGAGGCCTTACACAAAGATGAAAACCACTCATCAGTAATAAGAATCAGAAGGACTGATTGAAATTTGAAGTACAGAGATGAGTTGTAAAAGTTCTGGAAGACAATCTTATGGACTGATGAGACCAAGGATTAATCTCTGCCAGTGATAGAAAAGCCAAAGTGTGTACAAAGAAAGGAACTACTGATGATCTGAAGCACACAAGCTCATCTGTGAAGCATGGTGCAGGTAATGTCAAGGATTGAGCATGCATGGCTGCTTCTGGAACAGGTTCATTAATATTTATGGCTGATGTAACTGATGACGGCAGCAGCAGAATGAACTTTGAAGCATACAGAATAATTTTGTCTGCCAATTTACAGAGAAATGCATTCAAACTAATCAGGAGTAATTTTATCACGCACCAGGACACTGACCCAAAACACACTGCCAACAAAACAAGCAAATTTATCAGGGGGAAAATGTGGAAGGTTTTAGACTGGCCAAGTCAATCACCTGACCACAACCCAACAGAGCTATGCATTTCACCTCCTGAAGAGGAGACTGAAGGGAGAAACCCCCTGAAACAAACAAGAACTGAAAGAAGCTGCATTAAAAGCTCGGAACAGCATCACAAATGAAGAATACAACAGTTTGGTGATGTTGATGGGTCGCAGGCTTGAGACAGTCATTGCAAGCAAGGGTTATCCCACCTAGTATTAAATGTTGCTCATTTTAAGATTATTTGTTCCACTACCTTTGCTCACCTAAAACTGCTGTGGTGTAATACAAATGGTGATCTATCCTAAGTGGTTTAACACATCCACAAATAAAAACCAGGAAATTAAAACTGACATTCTGAACTTTTATCTGATGCTCATCTTTTGATCTTAAATTCAAATGTCTTCAGTGTACAAGAAAAAGAACAGAATTTGACTTGCTGTTCCAATACATTTGGAGGGGACTGTAAATACTGATTCAAGGCTCTGCGCAGGTCGGTATAAATGTTTTCTGAACTGCTCTGACCTTGGGCCAGAAATTTCCTCTGTAGACTTCCATCCTTATCCTTTTACAAATTTGAGAGTCAAAGTGTTTGTTTGTTTTTGTTCAAGAATTTCCATGTTGAACTCCATGAAACATGTTTAAGGAAACCTAAAATTCCTCATCTGAAATGGATGTAAATACAGAGAAAAGCACAAAACTCAGAGTACCAGATCATCTTGTTTATTTAGATTTTTAAGTTTCATTAAACAAACTTGCATAAGTAAAACTTGTCGTGCTTCTTTCTCTCTCTGTCTACCTGTGCAGGGAAGATGCATGTGTCTCTGGCAGAAGCCTTGCAGGTTCGAGGAGGCCCACTCCAGGAGGAGGAGGTGTGGGCCTTGCTCAGTCAGAGCGCAGAGAGCCTCCAGGATCTTTTCCAGAAAGGTATGAACATGTGGACTAAAGTGTGTAAAACGGATTCATACATTTTACAGGTTTCCAGATGTTTCCTCGACACGCCAAATGTTTTATTGTAACGAGAGTTTGAAAAGGTCATTGCAATTTTTTTTGTCATTGTTTTTTTTTTTTTTTTTTGACACAAAGTTAGTCTGGGAAATAAGTTTTAATTCAAGGCACCAAATAACAATCCTACATTGTAAAATTTAAAATTCTGACACAAATCAAATATCATTTTTAGAGATGTGTGGGACCATCGAGTTACCTTTACAAAGACTGTTAAATGTGCATTTTTGTTTTGGTTACTTGTGCCAGTAGATGCGTTCTTGAATGCAGAAAGAGATAAGATTGCCAGGTTCCAGAGAGTGTTTTGTTATTTAAGAAAACTTTAAACAGTCTGTGGGTATGGCTGGTTTAACTTCGGAGACTCTGCAGAGGATGTGAGTCAGCAAAAACCATGGGTTGTTTAAAAAAGTTAGGGTGGATCCTAGTTTCATACTGGATTCCAGTACACCTGATTACACGGGGTCATAGTTGTGTCATCTAAACTGTGGACCATTGGAAGTTTCCATGAAACAGTAACCTCTTGGTGTGCATTTATACATAAACCAGCTTGACTTCTCATTCTGGTTTTGCTTACAGCCTTGTCATACCAGAGGAAAATCTCACTTATCAGTAAATGCTTGTGAATATTCCTGTAGCGCCGAGGTCACGTTCACAGTGATTAGATTGTGCACAAATACCAGTATTATAGTGAACACTTCTTCACTGAAAAAGTGAAATGAAAGTTTTTTTTGTGTGTTTTGTCTTTACGTGGCGTTTTACTGTGCTCTTTGTTGCATTTAATACACCCATCTTTTTCCTTTTCCAGCATGTAGCTATACTGTGTAAATTGTGGCTTGTGGCTTGTAGAGCTTTAGACTGCTGAGTGAAGCTAAAATTTGAATAGCAGATGTTGGACCCAGCTATTATACAGTCACTGAACTATGTAAAGAAGCCTGTTGGCCACAAGAATGGCTTATTAATGACGGTGGTTCGAGCTTTAAAACTCACCAGACAAATTGTTTGATGTGCTGGTCAACTGCATCACTTGAGAGCAAAATTATGGGTAAATAAAAGGCATTTTGCTTTGAATTTTGCATCTCTTTTTTTTCTGTTTTTAGCACAATGAGAGCAACCAAGGATTCACTGATTGTAAATGTTGACACGGTGCATGCAATCAGTAAAGTTCTTTTGTGTTTGTGCAAACATCAGTGGTTACCGTGTGTTGGTTTAAGAATGATATAAATAAGTGATGTGTATTTGTGATAGAGGAATTTCCCATCTTGCTTCTTCTGATTGTCTTTGACGCCTCGAGCGTATGCAGCATTGACTGTCTATTTGCTGTCGAATCTATTACACGATGAGCTAATATTGTAAATGTTTAATTTAATAGAAGTGGCTGTTGAGACAGAAGAAGAGCTCTCCATTAGATGGTGGCACTGTTAATAAATTTGAATAGGATGAAAAACAAACATGTATAATTTGCTAAAAACAGTAAAGAATTCAACAGTTTTTATTTTTAATGATTAGTTTAAGTAGAATTCAGTAGTGTTCCTGCCTAATTTTAGGTTTGTAAAACCTAAAAATTTGGAAACTAGTCTCAAAATGTGCTTTTGCTCCACGTTGTGATTTCTTCTTCAGAACAAAGTCTTTGAGTGATACACCTGGCGACCCAGTTTTCTTTAGCGAGAGCTCTCTGAATGGTTACACATTTTCAACAGGAAGCTTATATTTACTTAGTAAAGTCCAGTGTTTATAAGTCTTAAATCAAGTTCCATTTTTTTCCACTCTCTGCTCCTCTTGTAGTTGGGTGTCAGTCAAAGAAAAAAAGAAGTTGCAGCACTTTTCAAACATTCCATTGTGTATTTTTAAGATCTTCTCTAACCAAAGCTCTAACTGCGGCTTTGCAGAAAAAAATAATTGTTGTGTAGCCAGTCCTCTCTACTTCAGTTCTTTTTAACTGATTCTTTTTTGAGGGCCAAAAATGCTACATGTTTTTGTTTACTTTAGTTTTCCTGAATAACTGTCAAATATGTTGAAGGTCGCTGCCTTTGACTCTAAAATGCCTTGACAGAAATTGATAGTGGTTTTGAGCTTTAAACCAATGTAGTTTGCTTTAACATGCTCCATTTTAAGACTAGTTAATTGTCATCTGTTTTCATTCTGATTGTATCTTTCTATTTTAAATTGCCTGTTTCCTCCTCCAGACCCTGCAGCCATGGGCTTCATCATCTCGCCCTGGTCTCTGCTGCTCATGCCCTCTGGCAATATTTCATTTGCAGACGAGTATGTCACCCAACAAGACTTAAAAGCTTTCACGGCCCCAGAAGTGCTGGAAGGGAACTCTCTAACTTCAGTTTCTGACATTGAGAAGGTATAGACCATTCTAATTATTTACATGGTGACAAAACCCTTAGAATTATTTGTATTTTACCATCATTATTCCACCCTCTGTTAATGTTCTCACGCATCGTCATTAAACTTTCAAAAATATGTGCAACATCTGTATTATTTTTTGACATGTTGTCACCTAGTCAAAGTTCTCTACTGTTAAATCGAGAGGACTTTGCCTTGTGTTGGTTCCTTGATGCACCACCGCAAGTAGTCTGTCTGCCGAATTGTGTGAAACCACTGGAGGTATTTAATGTGTGGTGACGCCTCTGAGCTCCTACATTTGTGGTTGTTAGATATTAAAACGTGGCGAGGACTTCTCGGACTTGTTTCTGTTGCTGTGGGGCTGTTTTGGTTTTATGGATTTTAAAAAATGGCTGAATTCTGTGGTTTGTCAAAATGGAAAGAAATGCTGTAAAAATTTAAACACTATTGAAAATCTTGTTTTTAGTAACAATTTGTCAAAAAGATCACTGGTTATAAATGATTTACAGGGTAAATTTGTTTCCACACATGTTTGGAGCATCTCTAACAGAAAATGTGAGGCACCTTTTTGTCTCCTGCACTAAACAGAACCACCACACACCCCCATTTCCACTCTGCCGCTCTGGTAAAATAGCTAAAAGCTTGCATGACTGCAAACCCGTCTCTGGCACAGCCCCACAGACCTCAACACAGTTTTGTGCTGAGTCAGTTTTCCAGCCCTACACCCAACTCGTCAGCTGAGTTATTTTAGTGTAGGAGGTATAATCTGTTTCCTTCATTTTAAGACAGTAGATAAATATATGTCAGCTGCAAACACTAAGGTTTTCTTTGACTTTTTCAACCTAGAATTGTTTCACATCTGCAGTGTTGAGTTTTTCAGATTTTCTACAAGCGTTGGTGTGACTTTAAATTTACGCTCACTGGTCTGTTCCTAAAAGACCTTGAAGGCTGTGTTACATTCTTTGGCAGTCCCAGAATTATTCTTTCCTCTACCAAGCCCAGCATTCAGGGGAAGTGATTTCTTTTGCAAGCAATGAGTGGAGAGTAATAACAGGGAAATGGAAAATGTTTTGAATTTCAGGGTGTAAACCCTCGTCTGTTTTCTTTTGACTGAAAATGATGTATTAAAGCCTCATTCTGTGTTCCAGTGTTCTGCTTTTTCTAAATTAAACTGCACTGACAATCTTTTTCTCTTCCTGTAGACTAAATAAATTATGTTTTTGTCTAAGAGCTGTTTTTCTTTCTACAGATGCACATGTATTCTTTGGGGATGACTTTATTCTGGGGTGCAGACTATGAGATTCCTCAGAGTCAGGTAAAATTTAACCACAGTATTTTTTTGTTGGACCTTAAAATAAAATTTAGCTTGTTTTTGTATTTTTACCACATTTGGCATTTTAAGTAGTGTTTCATAAAATGAAGAGTTAATGTTTTTAGGTTTATCTCTTTTCAAGGACCTTGTCTATATCTGAACCTCTTGATGGATAAAAAGTTAATCAAGTATTCACTGAGGAAAGTTTCTGAATAATGAGATGAACTGGTTATTTCAGTTTTCACAAAATTAGGCAGGTGCTAAAGTGTTCACAGTGTGATCCTATTAAAGTTTCTCCTGTTTGCTTTAATTGAACGCTAAGACTTCGTTCAATCTAATGGACAATGCATTTTCTTGGACATACATTTTATTGCAACTGGAAAGACTGTGTGTCTGGTTTATTTAATCAAAAATGAAATTGGTAGGAAGAAAAAAGAATTTGATTTGATTTTGTTGTTTACATATCTATCCACTTCCCCTATAATTTAAACTAAAGTGGTCAGAGTAACCTAGTCTAAAAGATACTTGTAGTTAAAGTTAGAAATCGACCAATACAGGTGTTTGAAGGCCGATACCAATTATTTTGACATCAGTCTAACCGATACGCTGATACTTACAGCCGTTTTTTTTTTTTTTTTTGGGGGGGGGGGGGGGGGTGCGATTCTTGAAGCTGATACTCCTTTTCTTCTTCCGTTAACATGATAAAAAAAAGATAAAAGTTACACAAGTCTCGATTTAAACAAAAAAGAAACATTTATTGACTGAATGCAAAAATTGCATTTAAATCAACTGACATTAACAACAAGCTTTAATCACAGTTTGAAATGTACATTCAAGAAAACCTGCTTCGCGACTAATGCTGCGTTCAGAGCAAACGTGATATGAGCGCATCAGCGGTGTCTGGTTTACATATGTGTATGGTGGAGGGCGGCACTTTACTCGCTCGTAGTGAACATAACAGCGAGACAAGACCGAGAGCTTTATTTCATTTCAGTGGAAAGAAGAGAGGTTCTTCTATGCCCCCTATAAGAAAACAACGTAGACATGCTAACTTCAGGCAGAGCAAAAGTGCAAGTAAAAACACGGTGCTCCCGTTCTCAAACTGAAACTTAACAGACCACTGTTCTCTCCCCCTCATAGTTCGAGACAGAGGGCAGCTTCAGCTAAATTAGACAGTTAAAACACATTAAAAGTTGAAAACGTACCCTTGTCGGCACTCGCGTGATCAAAGGCATGGATCGGCCAAACGCATGAACAAATCCGTCGAAACGATACAAGGAAAAAAGGCAAATATCGGCCAAAAATATCGCCCAGCCGAGGTATCGGTCGACCTATAGTTAAAGTAATTATTTTCACTATGCTGATACACATAGTTCTAATGGACGTTAAAATAATACTACGATATCAGATTTAGGGCTGCAACTAACGATTATTTTAGTAATCAATTAATCTAATGATTAAAAAAATTCTCATCTTCTGCAGTCATTACCTAAACTTATTTTATGACAAATACAATTATGAAGAGGTAATCTACACTTGCTGACGATCCTGCTGCAATCAAAGTAAAATTACAGTACCAGATGTATTTAATTCATGCATTTTAAGCTCCACTTGTTTGTATTTATGTGAGGTTTGAGACATTAATTAAAAGCACTCTGCCAGTGAATCATTTTAACCATCAATGAAAAATGTAAATTATGGTAATTAATTTTTATGGTTTGGAAAACTGAATGTGATCTTTTATGTTAGAAATTTTGTAAATAAAATGGGTAATATAAAAATTTGGGTGCTGCACATTAAGTTTTGTAGAGTTCAAATGTTATTGTTAATAGTAAATTCATATTTTTATTAAGACTGTTATTAGGTTGGAGCAGGGTTCCCATTTTAGGCAATAAAATATTTAGTATTAAGAGTAAGTATTTAGTATTATAGTATTTACTGGTTTGCTATAGACTGATATGACAGTAGTAATAAATAAATTAAGGCTAATGACATGTTACAAAGTCATAAAAAGCAGCAGCAAAAAGGAAACAAGCGCTAACATCATAGCGTTGTTTAATTCAAATAACATTCCGGCCGGCAAAAGTGCACTGATTTTAACAAGACCTATTTTTTATGATGCTTCGAAGTAGATAATATGCCTCGAGGATTTTTGTAATCAAATTTCTTGAATTATTCAATGAATCTTTTCAGCCCTAATCAGATTCAGATAACCAAGTAAAAGTTTAAAGACTGTTCTGCTCCTGTTAATGTTGCTTCATTCTGTTCTCGTGCAGCCTATGAAGCTGGGGGAGCACTTGAACAGTTTGCTCCTCAACATGTGCGATGATGTTACAGTGAGTCGAATGTCGCTGCGCACGGTGCTGGACATCTGCAGCAAACACATCAGAAACTCCAGCTGTGACCCTCCCTTCTCCTACGTCAGAAAACTGGTCCGGTTAGTGCTTGGCAGCCTCTCTCAGGTAAATGGCTTAACCAAGAAACCTAAATGCAGCATAAACATTCTGTTGATGTTTTTTTTTATTTCAATTGTCTGCTGCTAATAAGAAATATGTCACAGCTATTGTTCTTGTACACAAAGTTAAACTACTATTATCTGTTAAAAACACAGGAGACTTTGGAGTTACACAACAGATATTAGAGTTTTTGCTGATCAAACATTTCAGGAACTATTAGGAAATCCTTAATTTTCTTCTTTTTTTATCTTGTTTAATATAACCTTTCACCCATTGCTGTTTCCTAACGCTGTCAATTATTTTTTTAGCTGGATGGTCTGGTGACAGATAGAGAGTCCCTTCCAGAGCGAAGTAAAGAGATTCGAGAAAGATTAAGGGGCAAAGGTTTGCTATCTGGTAAGATGAGCTACACTAACATTCTTTGAAGATCCATAACTGCCTTTTTTCCCTTCGCTAGATCTCACTCTCTACAACTTTTGACATTGTAAACTGTAACATTCTTGTATCTGTACTCTGGAATAGGCATCTCAAGCACAGCACACTTTTAAACTGAGTCATGCCTCACTGGGCCTTCTGTCAAAGTGTCACTTTTCTTCCATTTCTCACATTGAAGCCTCTTCTCCTTACAATATGCCTGATGGAGATGCACCTTTACTGTATAATGTGGAGTAGGGAGGCAAGAAAACATCTAGAATACAGGGCTTTATATAAAATGTTTATTTCTCACTTTTTAACTAAATGATTTTGAATAGCCATGTGTGTGTTTCTTTCTGTTTTTGAAAAGATACCGATGCCAAACATTGAGTTAAACCACACTGACGAGAAGCAGACAAAAAGCAACCCTAGTCAAGAATTTGAAACTATACCTGTTACCATCGTACACAGACTTCCTACTACATTTGCACATTGTTTCCCACGCAGCTTTACCAGACATTTTACTTGAGGGCTGGGTGGAGAAAAACATCTTTTGCAAAAAGTTAGAAATGAGTGCTTTAGACAGTTGTGTTCTCATGTTGTTTTCAAAAAAAAAAAAAAAAAGAATTCAAGGCAGCATTGCACAGATAAATAAACAGCTTTACTTTACTAAGGCCTGCGTGTTGCCCACTTGTAATTGTGTTTGAGCTGTAAGTATGTACACATTGTAAATGCCTTCCTTGGTTGTCAAACCATTTTTCCCTAACATTTTCTAGACTTAGTTTCGGGAAAGAAAAAAATATACAATGAAAAAAAAAACACTACAACCTCAAATTCGGATAAAATTCAGGAAAATATGAGTAAACTTTCTCAGTGGTTTCTGAAAGAACTCCGGCATTTCAGGCCAGTGGAAGGAGCGCAGAGCACAGCCAAAGCAGTTATCCTGATTATATAAGCAGTGCATGATATTGATTAGATACATATTTTTAAGTCACCAGTGAAGCGGCTGGTTTGCTTTTTTGTATTAGTTCTTTGTTGGGCACCAGGCTTACCCTAAGGGAAACTACATGCAAAGTATCCCAATCATCTTTTCTTCAAAGAGTAGCACTTTGTTTACTGTTTCCCAGCGGTAGAAGTTACTGCTCTGATCTCTTCAATTTTTTTTCTCCTCAGATTAGTATTGTACATAACCATTTCTTTAAAGCTGAAGTTTCATATAACAGCAACATTTTAATAGTAGTACTAAAACTGTGTTTCATAACCATATCTGAAGAGTTTGTCATCCCCTTTCATGTCTGCATGAAAGGTTCTTGGCTTTTTACATATGTAAGAGCAAATACATAAAAAAAGACATTTCTGAAAAGTGCTTTTCCCATTTATACTCAGTTTAGTTCTTGTTAGTTTCTTTAAGCTACTAGAACTGGTGACTTTGTGTTTACAAGTTGCATTTGCTTTATAGATTAAACCAACACATGCTGCATTTTTATAGGACTTAATGTCTTGTTTTACAGGACTTAATGTCTTGTTCTGCTCTAATCTTTCCTTTCCCCCTTGTTTATGCACATTGTTAAACTCAAACCTTTTTCTTTTTCTCTGCAAGTGGTTTTGACTTATCTGGAAAATGCAACTTTAGTATTATGAACAGTTGAAAAAAGCATTTATGATGGTGGCTGGTTATCCACTACTAATGAAATACAGACATTTATTTGAACACCGTCTAAAGACTTTGGGAGTTCAAGAAATATCTGCTTTGTTCTTGTAAATTTTAACAATTTATTTCTAAAGGTTTGTGTGTCCGCTTGTGGTTTAATAACATTTCCCTTCTCTTCCAGGGAGGAGTGCCGCCCCCAGGGTTCTTGGGCGCTACAGAGCCAAAATTCAGGAACAAACGTCTCTTAACAAGGGCCTCAGTCGTTCCATGGGCGCACTGCCAATCCAGGACTTGTTGAAGGGGGGTGAGGGTGCAGTCCCCCTGTCCTTGTCTGATCACCACACAAACTCTGAATCTTCCACTGATATCTACCCTAGAACACCCTCGCTGCAGAACGAGCTTTCCTATCCCTATATGCATCCTCTTTACCTCCAGATGAAGGGCCAGCCTGTGGAATTGGACCGTAGGTCTTTACCCTTTGTAAGTGGGGATCGGGGGCCAAGTCAGTCCAGAAAAACCTGGGCTTCCTCTGTGGATTTGGCTCGCATGGATCCAGAAGCTCTTCGTTTTGGGGCTTTGGAGGATGCTCGTAGAGGCAGTAGTGCCTTAAGTACGCGCTCTGTAGGCAGACGCAAAGTGCCATTGTCAACACCCAAGGAGTTGGATTATGGGTACTCTGAGTTTGGTGTGCTGCATAATAGAAGATCTCATAACTTCTCAGCCCTGTCTATTGGCTCTGGACTTCCCGATGCTTTTGACAGGATGAAAGAAAAACAGAGAAAACTTGAGGCACTGCAACAAGCTGTTGATGGTGAGTAATAAAATGTTCTCTGAGCTATTAATTATACATTTAGGGTTGTTAGGGGACTGTGAATATACAGCTTTCACAGTTTTAATTTGTTTTAAATTTTTGGTTTGCAATCAAGTTATCATCTACTTTATTTAAAGCACGATGTCGGCTTTTAAAGTACAACGTTTAAAAATAGTCTAACATATGTTCTGGTACTGAAAGAAAATGTGTTTATAAGTTTATCGTTTCAAACCATGGGGCTAAATACAATACAACTTTTGCCAAATCAGTCAAATTATTAGGTTTAAACAATTCATGCATATCATTACTTAAAATTACTGTGTTGGATAGATTTAAATGGACTGTGCTACATCTGACCTTTTGGCAGAAAATGACCCCTGTGTCATGATATGTATCATATCACCAAATTCTTGCCAATACACAGCCCTAGAATTTTATTGTTAAGCAATTTTTTCCAAAACCTCAAAAGTGGAATTTTCACCTCTGATGATCTGTTCTGTTAGATTTTAATTTTATCATTTGGGGTCAACTGTAATTTTCTTTGCACAAAATCCATGAATTGTGGTCGTGCAAAGTTTTCATCTGTGCTCATCTTCTGGTGTTATATATTTTTCCTGATAAGGATCGGTACGTCTAGGTTTTTCTGGCTATTGATATTGATTACACATCACACAAAAACAGCTTTTCTAGCAGATGGCAAATCTGCTAATCACAAAATGTGTTTTCACAGCTTTGTGGAAACCGCAGTCATATAACTCCTTATTGTAACACATCACACATAAAAGCTTTTTCATTAGAACTGCACAATATTGGAATAGTTCTGAAATGCCTCAGTATGATTTTGTAATATTTGTTTTGTACAGATTACAGAATGTGACATTGTTAGAACATGCACGGTGCAGTGTTGACCACAAGATTTAAAGATATAACAATAGTCTTCTATCAGTGACAGTACATAAATCAAAACTGAAAACTTCCTGTTCCATGTGCAAGAACTTGTTCATTCAGCATTGTTGTAGAAGACAGACTGGTCATTATCTTATAAAGTAAAAATCGAAATGACTGTAATTAAAGCACATAAAGTAGGAAGAAAGCTGGCTGGATCTGATTGGTTCAAAGAGACATGGTGAGCAGTGGTATGACGAGCAGCCAGGCACTTGGACTTGGTACCAGTTGTGTATTTGAGTGTAACTTCTTTGTGTGTTGGGAGCTGGGCGCTGGCTTGAATGAAGTATCGTTGGTGTTGGCTGCACAGTAGTGTTTAAACAGACTGAATGAGTCGCTGGCACAGAAGTTACCAAGTGACTGATGGTAATTACAGGCCCATTTCTAGGCTGCTGCTAATTGTCACACATGTTTGCCTACACAGCCACTCTTTGTTTTTGTTTGTTTACTTTGGATATTTCGAACTGGTTAAAAAAATGTTTGTACAGTCATATGATCATACAGAACACAATGCAGTTATTAGTCAAGTCTTACAGCTTTACACTTCTCATAAGCTATTTGCGTTCTTAGTGAAATCTCTATAGGCATGCTCCTATAATGAAATATTTCAGATGGTCCAAATGTGTTCTTGGCCCACCTGGAGTCGTGGCAAAGCTTGGTGGGCTGCATTTAATAAATTGCTGTCTGTTATCTTTTCCTCTCTTTCCTTGTCTTGCCG